CCCTGCCGCTCCAGCGGTGGCTTAAATAGCAGCGGCAGCGCTGCGGGAATTCACGCGCAGGCGGGTCCGACCTCAGCACCGGGTTTCCCCACGGCAAATTCCATCAAGCACCACATGGCCCCAGCACACCTTCCTCGTGCTATAAACCGAGATAGCGCAAGGCTTTTTTTTTTTTTTTTAAAGTAGGTTAGGAAAAAAAAATATAAAACATTCAGCCAAAAAGCAAAGGAAATAAAAGCCCGTGAGGTAATGGTTCTGTGGGTGAAGCATACGCATATTTTTAGGGTCGGGAGTGTGGGTTGTGAAATGAGGAAAGTTGAACTCTGAATGCTACTTGCAAAAACAGCATGTTTGCTTTGCCCTAGTTTAATAAACCCCATTTAGGGTCAGAGAGCGGCGGGCCTAGCCCAAGCAGTCATCTCAGCATAGCGTCCGTGCAGAAGCTGGGGAGCTCTATCTTCGGCACTCGCAAAGGACCACATTAACAGCTGCTGGTGGGCCAACACAGTGACATCAGACTTCATAAATTACTGTTTTCTGAGCTTTCTTGTTTCTAGATTGTACTACTGGTGGGTCTATATAGGCCACACTCAGGTTTCATACAGATGGTTTTGTTTTGAGTTTCTTTCACTGTATACTTAGTGCCATCACTTTCTACCTGCTCATTGCCCACTGAGCTATTTCACCTGAAATTAAACTGCTTAGTTTAAAGCAACTTGAAAGAAGAGCTACATTTTCTACTGAATTCTGCACAGAATGCAGCAATGGGTTTTCATAGGCACATAGCTGTGTTTAACTGCCTTCCCAACAAGTATCGCAGCTCTTGCAGAGTTCTGTCTCAACCAAAGTGGGCACAGCCTTAAAACTGCCTAGGATGGCTCTGAAGAAACCCGTGTGGAGAGTCCCTGTCGACACTGTAAGTGGGCTCCCTGCGAGCTGCTCCTGAAGGGCGCTCCATCCCCAAGCTGCTTAGTGACCTACGTGAAGTCAACGTGGTGGCCGCAGGCCACGTCCTGGTGAGCTGGTGGCCACAGAGGAGCTGCTGCCACTAGGAGTAACCCGAGCTTAAAGGTGGCTGCCCTGGGTCAGCCTGTTCATGGGTTTTGCCTGTTCTTCAGGGACGGGCTGCCTCACGAACGATAGTTCTTTATTTATTCCTAGAAATATAACAGATCAAAGTCTTTCTAGAACAGCTCATTATTCATAGAAATAGTTTCTCTATACAGCAGCCAGAGCCAGGGATGCTCATGGGGCTGGGGTGCGGACGAGTGGCCTTGCAGAACACCCAGCTTCATGCATGCGAAAAGGCAAAACTCAGAAGAGGAGAGGCCCGCACCCTGACGTATGCTGCTTTTTATCACTGCTTTACAATAGGCAATATGCCATAAAAAGACACAGCTAAAAGCACCGCATGTCTCCGTACACTGTATTGTCTGAACTGCTCTAAGTCAGCACTCAGCAATGCTACAAAATAGCTAACTGTAATGATAGGCCTCAAAATGATCAAGTAAAACTTGGCAGCATTTTCCTCTTCGGACAGACAGGACTGGTTAGCTTGAAATCGTTTCTAGGTTGAGAAGTACTAAGAAGCAAAAGAGGCACCCAGACACAGACAATAAGCCAGTCTCTGTCCTTCTTACTTCTCCTTTTCTCTTCCCCCTCCTATTTTTTTTTTTAATATTGTGGAAGCCACATAGGATTCTGGAAGTTCTCCCAAGTTATCCACTAGTAGTCTTAAAGTTTAAAGAGAAAAAAAAAATCACTGCATTCAGTCTCTGTCAAGAAACTACCTTCAAGACAATGTCAAAATCAGACATTGATTTATCATCCCTCTTTCCTCCCTTCCATTTCACTGTAGTATAAGTATCAGAAAAGTCTTCAGCTACAGTAGCCACATCTTCTTACCTATGAATTGGTATCACAAGCATCAAAAGTATTATGCAGACAATCTGAAGAACCGCTAACAGAAACAGGTTTAAGGCAGCGATTGGTCTCCCTTATTGATAATGTACTGTTCATTCCCTAGGGCTTTGCACAGTAGACTGCAGCTATAGCTGATGGGGATGGTTATAATGTTTCTTGCTTAGGCAAAACACAGAAAAAAACTAATATCTTAACTGGCTAATAAATACACCACTGTTACAGTAATATTACTGCTCAGTTCTTTCATTGCAAGTAATAAGGAATTGCAATTCTATTGCTTGATAGTATTGATACACTGGTTACATTAATAAATCGGTTATACTACTGTAAAGAGAACGTGTAAGTCACCCATATAAATGCTGTTAAATTCAGATTCTGTCACTTTCCTCTTCTACTTGGTTTTACTAGAGTTCTTACTGCAGGCTCCCCCACCAAGTGCTTCACACACAGACCTGGTGGAAGCCCAAGGGGTCCCTCCAACAGAAGCAGGCAGCCCAATGGGTCCCTCCTGCTGCTATGGAATGACCCTCTTTTGGGCTGATTTTATACATTTTCTGTTTTTTTTTTTTTTTTTCCTGAGCTCCCCCTTTTACCACCCTGCACCTCTTTTCCTCTGCCTAGACTCCTCCCAGGCAAAACATCCCCCAATTCTTTTTTCCTCATCAGGCTCAACTCTGCTGAATCCCTGCCCAAGTGTGGCATTTCCAACATGGTTACATAGGCAATTCTGGCTTCACATGCAATTACTGCTGCTGTTATCTCGATGGAGGGCCCACACACCCTGAGACACCCTCCTGACTCTCCGGTCAGCACTGGCTGCATGGGGTGCACGAGCAGCGAGCCCTCTGCCTAGTTGTGCAAACTAGTTAAAAATTAACAGAAGACTTGATGCAAACAGCTGAAGTTGCCTGGTAAGTCCTGATATGACTCTCACTTGTATCTTCTCTCTCACTAAAGGTTAAAGCGCAATAACAAAGAAATGGGGGAAAGCACACACACGAAAACACACACGAAAAGCGGGTGACGCTTCCTCACTCCAGGAGGCAGTGCCAGCGGTGACTGTCAGCTGCCTCCGCTCCATGAGGTCGACCCTAGCTCCCATGTGACTAAGTTGGGTTTTAGGACAGGGGGGAGTGTATAAAGGAGCCCCTGGGGCTCAGCATGGGGGTCAGCGCTGCAAGGGCGGCCGGCAGCCTGCCCACAGTTCTGAGTGCTGCTTCTCGGGGGCTGCTGAACTCGCAGCGCCTGGTGCCTCAGGCGAGGCCGGGGCAGCAGGCAGCTCGCGGGGCGGCCGCGGGAGGGATGGCGGCCCCCGGAGAAGGACAGGGGGCGAGAAGGGAACTTCTCCTGAAGCAGAGAGAGAAGGAAAGCCTCTTAGCAGCGAGGGTGGCTAAGCAGTGGGACACGCTGTCCAGAGGGGATGTGAAATCCCCGGTTGAATCCCCTGGGAAATGCTCCAGCCTCACCTGACCTGCTCTGGCTTCAAACGCAGCCTGGGGGGACACGACACCTCCGCAGGCCACTTTGGGCCCCGGTTCTGCAGCGGTCCCATGAAGCTTACATGTGCACTGCCTGCCGAGTGGAAGGAGTGGGGGAAAACGGGGACTTTTCCAAGGCGAGGCTGGGAAAGTGGCAATCCTGAGCATCTGGAGGAAGTTAGCAGAGTGCTGAGGAAGGGGCACAGGCGGCGGGGCTGGAACGGAGCCGCAGCCCAGGCCGCTGTCTCCACGTAACACGCTTCCTCTCTCAGTGCAACGAAGGTTTTGCCCACAAAAACTAACATGCACAGAGGCTGAAGTGCTGGAAGGGCTTTACATGTCAGTCTCAATGAACACACCTATATCATCAGAAAAGGGGAATTATTTCAGGGATTGCAGCTTGCCCCATAACTTTCCCATTAGGAAACTGAGCATGAGTGTAGTTGTGTGAATAAACCTACATCCGCTTTCATGCGGAATTTGCATATGAAAACCTGCATATGCATAGAAAATGCCTGACGACAGCAATGTACTCAACACTGCAGCTTTCCTAGGAAATCTCAAAACACAGCCCTACAGACACAAGTCTTGAAGCATTCCACTACCTTCCAGAGAGGTGGAAAGGCCTTTTATGGTGGTTTATGATGGTTAAATATGATTGAGGGATTGCAGCCTACAGCCTCTCAGTTATGGGTTTTTGTCTAATAGTAAAACAAAACAAACAAAAAACCTTTCATGTTTATCTGTTACCTATCTTGAAGTTTTTAAACCCTCTTTGTAACATCTTCAGCTGATGTTACCTGTTATAATACAGACTTTTTTTGGACTAGAAGCAGTTTACCCCAATTTCCATTTTTTATGCAGCCTCACACAGTTCATTATATAGTACAGTCCTTGGCTGCACTGCTAGAAATAAAACATTACAGCAACACAACTGATCAACCAGGAAGAACTGCATTAAATGGGAAATTCCCTCTGTAATTTCCAATTGTTCAGGAAAACTTTGACAGAGTAAAGGACAGAGAAAGGCAACAGAGCTGAATCAAGAGTTATTGCGTAATGCTCTGATGATGAAACAGGGAATAAATCCCGAGCACAGAAGTTCCACAGGTAGCTTGCTCAACCTGTTGTTTTAGAGCCACTGATGCAATAGCAATTTCTTACAGTTTAACACTTGCATTGCTAAAAGTTCTTATCTGAACAGCAGAGCAAGTTTTCACTGCCTGTATGTTGCACCTTCTGAGAAACAAGTCTATCAAATGATACTGATTTCATGCAATTAAGGACAAATTAAACACGTGCTGGCAGAAGTGAAGCTCCCAGTTATCAAAAGGGCAGGTGTGACCGATGCATCTGCAGCATCCATCCTCATGCCACGAGTCGGCTGCTACTTGCATACAGCACCAGGAGCTGAATATCTGGGCTTTATGGCCCCATTTCCCAACTTCAGAGTTAGCCCCACTCAGCCCTATTGCCACTCGTGGCAGCACACCACCTTTGGAAGAAAGCCCATCTCTCAAAATGCTGGAAGCAAATAATAAAGATTGAAATAAAGAAATCAGGAGAAAAACAAAAACAAAACAAAAAAAACACCAAAAACAAAGCAATAAAAAGCTGCATAACAAACTGAGCTTTAAGTTATATTAGTTTCACTATTACAGCTTGTGCTCGTTTCCAGTCTAAAGACATAAATGTCTTTAAGCACAGTAAGTATA